ATTAATAAGATATGTTTTTATTTCATTGGATGGTCTCACTATTTCAGTCAAGTGAAATATTGAGATAATCTCATATAAGTATTTCTTTATTATCACTGACTTTTAGAGTGAAATTAAAATCCTACCGTAACCGAGTTTTTATATATTAGGGAAACGAAATTGGTTTTAACACTCAAATGCGAACTATTTAAGAATTTAATTAGTCTATTTTCCATGCGAAATTTCCAGAGTGCATGGAAACATCCAGAAACTTATATATAATTGTATTCCTCACGAAGTCTCTATAGTCAATATCGTGAACAGTATGGCATGATTAATAGAAAAAGGTTCTCTGCCCCCATTGACAAGTTAAATTTAGTCCTTTCCTTTCATTGATTTTCTCACATTCTTTAACTTTTACTTCCACCAATATTCGATTATTTGATACCAAGTTCAGCTCTTTGCTTTCCTTTTCCCTAATTTTTCTCACATTTGGTCACATTTACTTCCACCAATAGTTGATTGTTCGTGGAAGACTGTACTATATCTTACAGTATTACAAATTTTAACATATAATTTAAAAATATTTTTTAAAGATTTATTTTTGTAGTTTTTTTAATTGTTTATTATTACTGACTTAACTCTTACAGTTCTTGCCTGCAAGAGTTTATACAAATTTGCAAAAATTTGTAATTCAGGCTTGAGAGGATTCATGCACTTAAAAAAAAAAAAAAAAATGAAGGTATCAATTTGAATAAAAAAAGTTAACTTGATCTTGATCTTACATACAAGATTTTATCTCTTTAATTTTAATTACTATAAATCAATTCTTGTTCTGTAGAGGCAAGACCAATTACTGGTTTTCAGATACGAGATATCTATCCTAGTTAATATGGATGCATTTACCCAATTGACAAGTATGAAGGAATCAATGTTAGACTTATTGAATCTGTAACCATTCATGCCAAAATTGATTAATGGGGTCTCTAGAAACCCCATTTAATGAAATTTTTGAGAAATCAAGAAGAAAAAAATACAATGGTATTGGTAAAACAAAAAGAGTTAATTTATTAATTTACAAATACAATTAAATCTTATGTCACTAAAGAAATAACTTTAATTTAATGAATTTCTTTGTTTCTTGAGCGCTTGACGAGCTTGATGACTTGACTGGTACATTAAACCGTGTCTCCCCTGCCAAGGTAAATTTTTAGATACATCTTCATCGCTTTCTGTCTCTAACCATTTGTAAATACAAATTATTAATCTGAGAAATATTGGACAAGGCAGCGGCTTCTCCAGTAAATACATTCTCCATGATCCTTGTAGTTTTTCTCTATCTCTCAAGCTTTCTGATCATCACTTTCACAAATGCATTTATCACCCCGACATTCGTCGCCTCTTCTTGTCCATCCTTTACGAATTTCACCATTAACAGCACTTATTATCACTCCAACCTCAAGCTTCTCTTCTCTTCTCTTTCTTCCAACGCCACTTTCAACATCTCCAATGGACTCTCCCAAGTCATTTTCCGCAACGCCACCGCAGGCCAGGCTCCTGACGAGGTCTTCGGCCTCTTTCTTTGCCGTCCCGATCTCAACTCCACCGCTTGTCGGGACTGTGTTACTCATGCAATAAGAAATGCAACCAGAATTTGCACTACTCAAAAAAGAGCTTTAATATGGTACGACGAGTGCCATTTACGTTACTCAAACCAGTCTTTCTTCTCTAGCGTGGCTCAAAATCCCAGTATTTGGATTCCAAACACCGAAAATGTCACGGAACCTGACAAGTTTGATGATTCAGTGTTCAGTTTGATGAAAGCAGCTGCGAGCAAAGCTGCTCATTCACCTGATAAGTTCGTGGGAGCGAAGGCGGTCTTTAGAGTTAATGATGAAACATTGTATGGTTTTGTGCAGTGTACGCCGGACCTGTCAATTAGAGATTGTTTTACATGTCTTCAAGCATCTAATGCTGAGTTACCATTGTGTTGTAAGGGGAAGAAAGGAGGAAGAGTCTTGACTCCCAGCTGTAGCACTCGGTATGAGTTGTATCCATTTTTTAATGAATCCTTTTTTTCGACAGTACAACCAGCCCCGCAACTGGAACCTCCACCTGTTAGTCTATTTCCGCCAGCTTCTGGTTCTGAGACAGGGCTTCAAGGTAAAGTATTATGCCATATTTTATTTTTCTAATAAATTTTTTGTATAAAAAAATAAAGGATAATATATTTTTTGTGTGAGAGTTAAAATAACTACTCAAAGTCATATTTTATTTTAGGTCTACATATTTTAAAATTCATATCTATTAGCTTGACTGTATATGTTCTAATTTCCGACAAATTAATTGAATTCTACACCTTTTTCCACGATAACACCAAATTGACTTCACTAACTCTTATTGACTCGTGCATTAAACGGTTGCTCTTATGCGCATAGGCAAATATGAAATATTTGAATGCCTCTTCAACACTACTCTAACACGCTATGACAGACAAATAGATTCACACCATGATCCTTGTGGTTGTCCTCTATCTCTCAAGCTTTCTGTTAATCACTTTCACAAATGCATTCATCACCCCAACATTCCTCGCTTATTCTTGCCCACCCACAAAGAATTTCACCATAAACAGCACCTACCACTCCAACCTCAACATTCTCCTCTCTTCTCTTCCCTCCTACAACAACCGTGCTTCCCATGCCACCACCACAGGCCAAGACCCCAACAAGGTGTACGGTCTCTTTCTCTGTCGTGGCGATCTCAACTCCACCGCTTGCCAAGACTGTGTTGTATCTGCAACCAGAGATGTAACAAGATATTGCCCTATTAAAAAAGAAGCCGTAATTTGGTATGATGAGTGCCATCTACGTTACTCAAATATTGAGCCTTTCTTTTCTAGTTGGAATCGAGGTCCTAGTATTTGGAAGCCAGATGCTGGAAATGTCACGGAACCTGGCAATTTTGATGATCTAGTGTCGAGTTTGATAAGCGAAGCTGCAAATAAAGCAGCGTATTCTCCTGATAAGTTTGCGGCGGTAAAGAAGAAAAGCTCTAGCGTTAATCAAACACTATATGGTCTGGTACAGTGCACGCAGGACCTGTCGATTAGTGATTGTTTTATATGTCTTCAAGAAGCTAATTCTCAGTTACCATCGTGCTGTGGGGGAAAGAAAGGAGGAAGAGTATTGACTTCGAGTTGTAATGTCCGGTTTGAGTTGTATCCATTTGTTAATGAAACTTTCATTTCAACATTAGCACCTCTACCGGCGTCAAAACCTCCACATCTGCCCCTGGTCCCGCCAGCTCCTGGTTCCGTGACTACGTCCCATGGTAAATTTATGATACTACTCTTTACTTCTCATTTTACACTCCTATTGTGGTTAAGGTTGACATCGCATATGTGGACCCAAAAAAGATAAAAAACTGAGTTCAATATTTCAATATACTTTAAATTTTTGTCTGATAGTCAGACTTCAACTAATTCAAATTCTATTGCAATGTAAACATTTTTTTTTTTTTTAATCAAGGAAGAAGTAAGAAGCGAAAGGCAAGCCAGAAAAAAAAAATTTAAGTTTTAGGTAAATTTCTAGTTTAAGTATTTGTAATTCCTTTTTTATTATAAGATGTATTAGAAAAGAAGAATTGATTTAGGACTTTATTTAAGTTAAAATAAGAGAATGATTTAAATTATAAGAATTCTATTAGGAATAGGAATTTGAGTTATAGTAGAAAAAGAATGTTTTATTTTATCTATAAATAAAAGGGTTAGAACCAATTCAAAGTGATGAGAAAGAGAAGTAAAGAAAGAGAGAATGTGAAGATATAAGAGGTTTTGATGTAAGGATATTAGAGGGCGTCAATAAAATATCACGCCTAAGTAAAGGTATTAGATTGACGGTGTAATGAAACATTTATATTGTGCTAATATTATTATAGTGGGTCTCTTATTTGTGCATGTTTGTGAGTTGAGTAATGCTATGCTTACTCACGAACTTACTAACCACTTTACTCACCTTTGTTAAAATTACATATGGTATCCATACTATGCATATGATACCCGTACTATACTTTATATTTACAAAGATTAGTAAGATAGTTAATAAGTTCGTGAGTAAATATAACATTATCCCCCCCCCCCCCCCCCCATTTTCAAAATACTATCAGGTTCAGATTTTCAACAAATTCTCCCCCGACACCCCCTTCTCCAGCGGCAAAACAGCCCCCACCACCCTTTTCCTCCTAGTCAGCAACTCCTCCACCTCATTCCCTTAGCCAGCAGCCCCCACCTCCCTCCTTACCATCACATTTCACCTTAACCCACGCAAAACCCACAGCCCATCCCTCAAAATTCTCCCCCACCCTTCATATTCTCCTCCGTCCAAACGTAACGGCCAACTCTTTTCACCATCTCTAGTTTCCTCTATTGCCGCCGCATGCACTACTACCTCAACCAAAGTATTTCTCTGCCCTCCCAAATTCTCTGCTTTCTCTCTCAACACCTCTAGGAGGTAGTATTCCCTCCCCCACTACTTCCCAAAGCCATTTTCACCCTTCGTTCTCCACCAAAATAATTAAAACCCACAAATCTCTGTCGCCATTTCTCTCGGGGAAGTGCATACCATAACCACAGTCGGTAAAAAGCTTCCATTTTCTGTAATCGATGCGTCTGCTGATGATATGATTTGCTGGAGGATGGGATTCTTTACGAAAGATGGTTGAATTTTGAAAGATGGGTTTGATGGTAAAAGATGGTGAATTGCTGAAAGATGAATTGGATGATGAAGGTTCGCCACCAAGGCACTCCAGCATCTCCTTCTCTATCTTTCGCTATTGCCAATTCAGTGGTTTGGATTGGTTTGATTTACGCTAAGTCAATGTATTATGAATTTTATGTTTCTATGTTACAAGTCCTAGATTATTGTTATTAGTACATCTCGTTATTTTCCGGTATATATCCATACCATTACAATTTTATGGAAGAATCCCGAACGGGATCTCCCACATTGATACAGGTAAACAATTTATGAAAACTTATGCTATTTACTGAAGTTTTTATATGTGTTGTATGATTTTCTGTCAATGCATTATTCACTGATGTACTATTTAGTGTGTTACAAATCTATGTTGAGTCTTGTTCTATGTTGTGGCAAGGATTGTTGAATAAAAATATTTGCTTTGTTAAGGAGAGAAAGAAAGGCTAGCAACATGGATAGGATTTGGAGCAGGAGTAACAGGAGTTATGATATTCATGCTTTCGTTTTGGTTTTTATTGCAGTGTATGCAGAGAAGATATAAAGGTAATGGATTTCTAATTTACTAATTGAAAACAAAAGCTATTAACTCTCTAGATCTTTCTTTGTTTTGGTAATTGAATTTAGTTTGCCTTGCAGAAGAGAAAGAAAATAGACAAGCTCTTCAATTACTTTGCTTAGGAGATGAAAAAAATATTTTACAAGAGAAGCTTCAGATGGAAAATCAAGACTTCTCTGTTTTTCCTCTAGGCCAGATACTCGATGCTACACGACATTTCTCTGAAGAAAATAAGCTCGGTGAAGGTGGGTTCGGCCCTGTGTACAAGGTAAACTATATAGTGTTGATGTTGGCCTGTGTTGGCTTACATAGATTTTTAGAGTAATGTGTTATTTTCCTATTACTAATGTCTTGTTGTCATATGAACAATAATCAGTTAGGATCAAAAGTTTGGATCCTGTATATACATAGTATTACTGAAAAGTTTAATCTGTTAAAGTTAAGTGGTTGCTTAAAACATACCATGAAAAACGTTATATATATCTCAAGTTAGTATCCCAATTTTTGCATCTCAAGTAATGTTACATAGATTTGTGATTAGCATATGAATTATGTGCTTTATGATGTTCAATTCTAAATTAATTTCACGTCATTGGATGAAAACTTTGGATATGAACTTGGAAAGCATAACCACACTCAGTAAATATTGGCCAAATGCAACTTTTTGAAATGAAATTAGACCTATTTTCATTAAATAGGCCCTTTATGTTCTTGTTTAATGGTAATGATGAAGATTTGCTTTCAGGGTGTAATAGCAGATGGTAAGGAAATTGCAGTAAAAAGGCTTGCAAGAGCATCTAGGCAAGGGGTACAAGAGTTCAAGAATGAAGTTAACTTAATTGCCAAATTACAACATAAAAATCTTGTGAGACTTTTGGGGTGCTGCTTCGAGGAAAAAGAATTACTTCTCATCTATGAGTACATGCCCAACAAGAGCCTTAATTTTCACCTATTTGGTTTGCTTCTCAACCTCTGGTAATGTTAGCTAATTAGCTAAATTCAAAGTTAATTTAGATGACTTCATTGTCAGATTCGACAAAGGGTATGCATTTGGACTGGAAGAGACGCGTAAGCATCATTAATGGAATTGCACGGGGTCTTTTGTATTTGCATGAGGATTCTCGACTCAAAATTATTCATCGCGATCTCAAAACTGGTAATATTTTATTAGATCATGAGATGAATCCAAAGATATCAGACTTCGGAATGGCCAAGATAGTTTGTCAAAATCAAAATGAAGCTAATACCAATAGAGTTGTTGGAACATTGTAAGCATGCATTTCTTGAAAAAATATGCTTCTCTATGTAACCATATAACTTGAAAAGATTACATTTTATGAAACTGATACACGCCCTTAACTTTATAGTATTTATTTTTATTTTTTTGCTTCGATTGAATTTTAAACAGTGGATACATGGCCCCAGAGTATGCTATGAAGGGAATATTTTCTGTTAAGTCAGATGTTTTTAGTTTCGGAGTTCTTCTATTGGAGATAATAAGTGGGAGAAGAAATACTGGATTTTCTCTTTCTGAACATAGTCGAAGCCTCCTTACTTATGTACGTGACTATCTCTATATGTGACTTTGAAGAATAATTAATGAGAAATATACCATTAATTTTGTTTATTTCTTATATGATGTTTTAGGCATGGAAACTGTGGTGTGAAGGAAATGCAATAGGGTTGATGGACCCATTACTTGCACAATCATGTGTTCCAGCTGAATTATTGAAATTTATCCATATTGGATTGTTGTGCGTTCAGGAGAATCCAGCGGATAGACCTACAATATCATCTGTGATTTTTATGTTGGCAAGTGACAATGTAAGACTTCCTATGCCATAAACTGTATTTTCTGTTCGCCGATTTGTTGGGAAATCAGTTTAGATGTGTTATGAAACATGTAAAGTGTGAAAACGCAATTAAAAGTAAATTTTGGAAACAAGGGTGAATTATGCAGATTAATCTTTCATTAGCTCTCTCATACATTTTTTCTGCTGATGAATCCAATGTTTATCACTTGTTTGATAATTATCTTTGTTGATATATAGGACTTTTCTTGTGTCTATATTTTTATGACTTGTTTGTTTTCAGTGAATTTCTTCTTTGAATATTTTTTCTACTATGAAATTTGATTATGCACAATTTGGCCTTTCTGATAACTATTAGCTATTTGCTTAACCTTTGACTGTTTCCCAGGAAATGAAAAGGCAAGTTTTATGCATTTTCTTGTAGTGTATTATTGTTATATGAGTTCAATATAGTCAAGGATAAGACAATTGTATTGTATTGTCGATATCTATTGAAATATATAAATACTTATTTTTAAAAGTACTAATAAATATATAAGAAAAAACTATGTTATGCGAACGATAGGATTACATGATATGTCTGTCTCATGAAAGATGTATACTTTCCTCAGGAGTTTTTAAAGCTTGCACTATTCAAATTTCTTGGAATTTTTTCAATATCTGACTGCCAAAGGAGACATTGTGTAGGAGCAGGACCATAGGCATAGATCATATTATTGAATTTTACACACTCCTTAATGCAAGATGCAAGAGGGTGCAGAGAGTCCACACAAAGACCAGTTATCTTATCTTGAGATGCATAAGAGTCAATAGTCTATAGATGGCAGCAATTAATGGTATTAAATTTAGAAAAATGTTACACCCACAACCTCTTTTTACAAAATTTCTTTCACAATCTCGACATAACAGTTCACAATTAGTCAGTTTGTAATAAGTCTCACTTGAGTTCCATTTGATAAATTACGATTGATCAATTGCGAACTGTTACATCGAAATTGTGAGAGAAAGTTTGTGAGAGAAAGTTTGTGAAAAAAAATTGTGAGTGTAGCATTACCCTTGAGTACTCAGCTGCCACTTTCGATATACCTAAACTAGAAAAATTGAAAATTTGAACATCCAATTAGTAAGAATGTTGGTATCTGATGATTTAGTGTTTTGATCCGGAAAGTTATGATACGAACTCAATGATATTACTAAAACCAGTGAGATTTTTGGTATATGATGATTTAAATTTCAATTGGGAATGTTACGATATCAACTCAATAATATTATTTAAATCAGGAAAAAGTATTCGTATATGATGATTTAGTATTTCAACCGTGAATGCTATGATACTGACTCGATAATATTACTGGAACGGATCGAACACGACCCTATTAATCTCTACTTTGCTTATAAAATAATAAATAGGGACGGTGTCATTATGCGCAGATGGGCTGAAGCAGAAATCTACAAGAAATGAAAAGTTAAGTAAATGCCAAAGGAAGAAGACTTATTTTTAATGGTGGAATTCACATTATTTTAAATGAAACTGCAGATCCCAGCCGGCATTGCAACCATTCAAGACAAAGAAATTTAATGTACTTTATTTAAACACGGTGATCTACAAAAAATTAGGGAGGGAATCATTAGAATATTCAATTAGCAGGTAAACCAATGCACAATCATCCAATGAAAACAATAGCCCCAGCTAGCAAGAGTCCTTATTTTGGCTGAATCTTCAACAAGAAGTTAAAGCAAGAAGTAAAGCAATTAATTGATCATAATGGAGGAAAATATTTATCATATATAAGGGCCTCACATTCCTTTCCCATCACCGTCTCACAACTGAGACAGTAGCTTATAACTCTTCTCATTTAGTAGTTGCTTGCATCTAAAAGTTTTGAATAGAGAGATTTCGGAAATGGGTTCTGATGATACTTGATTTTAACACCAACTATTAGCATGTGCAAAGCGTTAAGCGGACTTAGAAATTACCTATGAATGGAAAAAGGAAATAAATAAACAACAAACGATCTTTAAAGTGATTCGGATGTTCAAAGCGAATCTTATGTCCATTGTCTTTTTATAAATGAAAGATTATAATCAGGTTGCAAGTAGCGATCAGCGAAATAGAAATATAGAGAGGGAGAGAGTGTGTTTATTTTATCAGAAGCTGAATCCTAATGATGAGAGGGGAGCTCTCTATTTATAGTAAGAGGTTTCTGGGTAATGATTACGAGTCTGCCAGCGGGCAGGTGTCGTACAGTTCCTACCCTGCTTCCCACTGGCTGGCTGCATGATAAATATCCTTAAATCGCGTTGGGCTTGGGCAAGTGGGTGACTCCCAGCCACTCACTAGCCAAGCTTTTGCCTGCCAAGTTGATGACCGCCTTACTTCTTCTGTCCTTCGACGACGTGGTAACGCTTGGGTGGATAATGCCTTCCTGAACTCTAATTGGTCCTTACTGATGTAAGCCCGTGTCAGCCCTAATTTTTTAGACATAACAGAAGCCCCCCAATTCTTAAGGTTCAAGGCTTGAACTTTGAGAACTTCATGATTTGACTCATTCCGAGAGTCGCTTGCTCAAACTGCAAATGGGGAATAGCCGAAATAACACGAAGCTCATGATAAGCTCACGATTTAACTCGACCAGCGAACTGAGTGGAGGTCGCGATGTAAGGCATTGCAAACTGCACAAGCGATCTAAGGTGATCATCCCCTAAAGGTTCAGCGACCTGGGATCGGATCCTGCTTAGTGCTATACCAACGTGTTTGGAACTTTTACCCACCCTCACGAGCTGAAATACTTAGAATGTTTTTGCCAAAAATCGGAAGTCACTTCACTTTGAGCTCAATACTCGGAGAAGAGTGTTTCATTCGAACGACCTCTTCTGATGTTATCTATTGCACTTGACAGCTGACTTGGTCAATTAAGTAAGATTTATCTGATAGACGTGTCTTTGCGCAATAAGTGTAAGCCATAAGCATTAAATGCAAGCTATGCTGAAACAACATTCTCTTTTAAGACATTAAATGAGGATGAGGGCACATTTAATGCGATGAAGATAACCATGCTGACGTTTGGTGTCTTCAACAGAGGGAAACATCGGTTGATCTTTACAAAGCATGAAGGTTACTCTTCACGAGGATTGATAGCACGTGGTCACATCCAACGGTTGGGAACGCATCTCGCCCAAACGTCGCTTGTAAAGGAAACCAAATGTAGCCCTTTTTCCCTATAAAACCCTAAGCCCACTTTAGAATTTTCACATAACTCGAATCTTCAGAGAGAAAAACAGAGTTTTTGCACTGAAGAAACCAGTTCATCCATCTTCTAGTTGATGCACACCCGCCATTATGATAGATCATTCATCCTTAACAACCAAGAGGCAAGGAAAACTCTTCCTTTTCTCCTTTTCATTCCTGTTAAAAACTTGGTTCTTTCACAGAAATGGTGGGTTTGAACGCCTGGTAAACTTACATGATGCACATTCTGGGGTAGTGTTAAAAAAGGAACACTCTTAGGAATCAAAAATCTAGGACACAAATCCTTGGGAACTCATTCTCAATGACGTTTGGGGTTTTTACGAGTTAAGCAAGGACAAGGATTCCTTCTACCTCTCGAAGCAATCTACGATCGAGGGAGGGATATTTGGTTACCCCAGCAATATTGGGGCTTATGACACCAAATATTTCTTCTTCAAGTACAACGGTGTTTGTAAATTTAGGGAGTCAAGTAGGTTTTTTCCTTTTAATTTCCAAACAGACAATCCTTTCCTTTAACTTTCTTCTGGTAGTTAAAACTAATGGAATTTTTTCAACAAGATGACCAAGTTGTCGACTCTAGCAGAATTCAATGTATCGAGGCATTTGGTCATTTACCCGATCAAAGTCGCGATACAAGATTGCTTGTGACCACTACTAACCTGCGAAAGTATGAATTTTTCAACCTTAAGGCATCTTTGGAAGCTCCAGCCTGTAAGTATCTTCGTATCCAGGAGATCTTTTAGCCTTGTACCAAAGATGACTTGTTTGCTAACACATTTTCATGGCGTACATCGACCATGCCGCTGAGGGTTCCGAGGCCACCAATAAAGGCTAGGGGGTTCGTATTCTCCCATGTCAGCCTGACTGAGCTAGCTGAAGTGAGCCCCAGTGCCATTCCCATAGGAGGGTATAGATCAGCGCTGAAAGGCGACCACCCACGGAGCGATGCAAAAAAGCTCCTCGGCCTGTGGCTACTTATGCCACAAAGCAGAAAACCATGGGTCAGAAGACAAAGAAAAGGAAACAGTTGACCGCCAAGGAGGAAACGGAGTCAGAGACAAAGGGCTCAGGGTACTGTCAAAAGAACTTAGCCCAACCCCATCACTCACTTAGGAATACTCCCGAGGGGCGCCCCCGACATTTTGGCGACCCCTGGGAGCTCGCTCAAGGGAGCGGGAGCTACCACAGCTATCTAGAAGAGAGCAGGAAAGCAATGAGTCGAGGATGTGCCTGCCTCCTCGGGGCCAAACCCATCTGTGCTAGATTCCGTAAGGTAACTACTAAAGCACTTGCAACCGGTAATGTACACCCTGTTGGAATGCTAGCTTGCCTTGGCCTTCGAGGAGTTCATGGTTGCTCGACCTACCGACCTGATGGCTACAGCGCTTCAACTGCATAATCAAGTAAAACAGCATGCCTTTTTCGAGAACTTTCTTGGGTTTTTACGATTTTAAGAAAAGAAAACTAACTTTTCTCTTTTCCCATGCAGTCCCTGTTCACCTTGACCGTGGCCTAACAGAAGATCGATATGGATTCTACCGACAACCTCCACGAGCTAAATGGGGAGAATGCCAAACTGAAACAGGACCTCGTGGCCATGGATGCGGAGGCTCAAGCGGCTCGCGTCCAGGTGGATCAATACCTGGTAGAAAGAGATTATGCACTTCAGGCCATGGACTTCCAAAAGGTCGAGCTCGAAAAGAGAGATAGGGATAACAAAGAGCTCTAGTGGACGGTGGCAAGGCTTACCAAGGAGCTAAGCGAGAGAGAGAAGAAGATGAAGGTGAGCACCAATCGTGGGAAGGCAGCGGAGGAGAGTCAGGCTAAGCTGTGGGAGAACTCTAAAAGGCAAA